AGGAGCGGGCAGGAGCGGGCAGGAGCGGGCAGGAGCGGGCAGGAGCGGGCAGGAGCGGGCAGGAGCGGGCAGGAGCGGGCAGGAGCGGGCAGGAGCGGGCAGGAGCGGGCAGTGGCACTTTGGGGCGGTGATGAGAATCCAGCACAGACACGGAGCAGACACAGGAACAGGATGAGCAGCTCCTTAAATACCTGCCCATAATGAGTAGTGAGAAAAAGTGCTCCATCATGGGTGATTGCAATCTCAGGGACATTTGCTTGGCGCTTTTAAAAATTAAAGATAATAACTTTCTAACAGAAACAATCTTGCTGTCACCTTGGGGAAATTCTCTGCTTGGCCTCACTCAGAGGGCTGAGAGGAGCTGGAGGCGGGGGAAGAGCTGGTGCCTGGCCAGGGCAGCCGCTTCCAGCCCCATTTAATGCCTTCGCTGCACCCAGCTCGGCTCAGCAGAGCCAAAACCAGCCCTGGACAAAACCAACGGGGGAAAATGGAAACTCAGGAGTGAGGACAGCTGCTTTCCTGCACCTCACACCCCTGCCAGGCCTACTGAAAGGGGGAATTGGAAATCAAATTTAAAAATTAGATATGGGAAGTAGCAGGCCACACACACGTGGCTGTTAAAATAAATCTGCAACTGGAAGGCAAAGCAAAGCAAGGAAGAATTCTTTCGCTGTGTTGGAAGGAGCTTTCCTGAGGTGTGAACCACCTCTGGATCATGATGGTGTAGCTGTCAGCCATGGAGCAGAAGTGACACGTGTTTATTTATTCATCAGATACTTCTGTTCTGTACTTGGAGACAAACAGGCTCTGGACTCTGGCAGGAGCTGGGGGGATGCTGAACAGCAACTGCAAAGTGTAAACACGGAACTGGGAGGACTGGAGAACTTCCTCCCAGGAGCATTCAGAGAATAGGCTGAGAAGGCTTCTGACGATGTAAAATGGATTTTAATAAACCTTGGCATTCTGTTGAGTTTCTAGAAGTCGGGAGAAGCTGGCTCAATGCCAGGAGTGATGCACTGGGCAATGGCAGGAGCTGTGTGCCCAGCACCGCCTGTGGGTTAGCAGAGGTGGGAACGGAGGAGGAGGCAAATGTCAAACAGCCTCATGGAAAACAGATTTATCAAACTTCATAAATTTTTCTTGATACAGTTACAAATTCAGTTGATAAAGGAATTCAGTAACATAATACATTTAAGGGTTCCACAGGGTATTCAATTTAGCTCTCCTGAAAAAGTTAAAGACCTGTATTATGCAGAATCAACAGCGCTTTATTAACGGGGCTGGGAGCTCACAGAGACAGTGCCCTCGTTCAAGGGATGTTCCTGCACAGGATCTCCTGTTACAAGGACAGTGCTGAGCTACGACAACATCTTTATTGAGAGTTTTGAATAGAACATGAAGCAATTGGGAGTAAAACAGGGAAACGGCAGAGAAAAGACTGGTGGGGATATTGATGGATGAGGGAGGGGGGTCAGGCAGATTTGGGCAGCTCGGTACCTTGGGCCCATCTCTATACAGCTCCAAGGATTAGGAGTGAGGAACCAGGAGAGCAGTTTGGGCGTAGGAGATGCTGCTCAGTCCCACCAGATGGGCTGGGGGTCCCAGCACTCTGGGGATGCCCTGGGAGGGGCTCAGTGAACTCAGCGTGCCACCAAACTCACAGCAGGCAGAACTGGGACAAGCAGCCCCATGGCTATGGGAGGCCAAGGCACCAGAGATTATTTCCCGTGTTCAAGGGGAGCTTGAGGAGCTCGTGAGCTCTCCAGAGGAACCCCCGGCCCAGGGACACGGCCCTTCACCCTCCGTCACCACGGAGCCATGCAGGAGCCGCGGGTCAGGCTCCTGAGGGCCGGGGGTCAGCATGGTACCTGCAAGGTTGTGTGCAAATCCTGACAGGATCATCCCAAAAGAGCAGCCCCAAAAGCTCCCCAGGCTCAGCTCGGCTGGCAAAGGCTGTGCTGGAGCTGCTGTGGGGAGCACTGGAGGGGCCACGAGGGGCCCAAGGGGGACAGAGCAGCTCTGGGACATGTCTGTGTCCCCTGCAGAACACCCCACACCCCACCCCAGAGGAATGCAGGGTGCTGAGCATCCTCTGTGAGGGAGGCAGGCAGAGCAACGCTTGGCCTCCTCCAGAAATGACAGAGCACTTTACTCTGATGAGGGAAATGAAGGAGGAAAGGAAAAATACCACATCGCCTTAAAATATGGTATTTTGAGCAGCCTTGGCCAAATCCTCCTGCTCCTTCTGCCTGTTTCAGATCCGCATGATGCCGTGGAGCCAGTCCCAATCTACACCACGCAGCAGGGAGGACACGGAGCCTCCCTGCATTTAATGATGCTGCATTTAATGATGCCGAATTTAATTAAGTTTGATGAAAACCAAAGTTCTGTTACTTTCTTGAGGTCACCACTAGCCTAAGCAGCGATTTCTCAACTTCGGCTCTCTCCCCAAAGTGCCGCGTGCTTCCCTCCCTTCCTGCTGACCCAGCGGGCACGGAGGAGAACAAGAGACGCCGAGACAGCCACGGGGGACACGCACTGAGCAGCGCTGCTCACACCCGAGCCGGACACACGAGCGTTCACCTATTGTAAAAGCAATAACCAGCATCCAAACGCTGCGGTTCCGAGCAGACAATCGCGGCCCAGCAGTCTGGAAACACCTGCCCGGGCTCCAGCGACTGAGTCAACCGCTAATTTGTGTTTCCCAGTGTGGGTGGCTCTCCATGGGTCTGCGGCGGCTCCATTCAGGATTTATCCGCTCTCGATGCGCTTGTGACGCTCACGTGGTGCTCGGCTCCCACGCAGGCGCCGGGACCGGCAGGATGCTCGGAGCCAGCGCTCCCGTCGGGCAGCTCCGGCTGAGCCCGGCCGCGGCCGCGGCGGCTCCGTCCTTCCCGAGCTCCTTCCCTCCTTCCCGAGCTCCTTCCCTCCCTCCTCACCGCGGAAAGTTCGGGCTGAGGCGGCCCCCGAGGGGCCGGGAGCTCTGCTCGGTGCTAAAAGCATCTCGTGGACCGCAGGAGAAGCGGCCCCTGCGACAGACCGTGCTCGGTGCCGCTCCGGGGATGGAGCCTCTGTCCCTGCCTCCAGCCCGACAGGGAGCGCGCAGAAACCGGCAGCCAGGCCCTGCAGCAGGAATCGCGCAGGACCTGCTGCGTGGAGCGGGTCCGGGGCTGTGCCCCCAGCGTTCCCCCGGCCGGGGGGCTGCTCTGCCCCCGCCCCAGCACCGTCCTTCCCCCGCACCGACTCGTGAGCCCTGCGCAGCTCAGCTGGGGGAAGTTTTCCCCGGCCAGCAGCGCACGGGTTAACAGCCTGCGAGGCGCCTTCTCCTGCAGGATTCAGGAGGGTGATGAGCAGCCCCAGCACGTCCCCCCAGCTCCATCAGAGCCCCACGTGCTGCCCCCGGGGAGTGACGGAGCCCGGGCCCCGCGCGAGGCCCCGGCGGTGCCGCAGGGCCGGAGCGAGCCCCGCACGGCTCCACTCCCACTCCCACTCCCACTCGAGCGGCTCTCAGAGCACCGGCGCGGGCTAGGATGTGGAACAGGGAGTGCTGAGCCCACGGCGAGCCCACGCCCTGCTGCTCCCAGCCCCGTGCCCAAGCTCGGGCTGCTGGGCTGGGATCCAGCTCTGAGCTCTGCCATGGCACTGCCGAGCCCTTTCCCGAGTGAGCTGTGCCCAGGGCAGCGGGGCCTCTTTGGCTCCTTCCAAAGCAGCGATAGATCACAGTGAGGGAAACATAAAACATTGGCTGGAACAAAAAATGCAGGTAGCAAACCGAAGAATTTTGGAAATTACTCATGCCTCCAGCGATCCAATCTTTCACATCCCTGGCTCCTGCCTCCTTGGCTCCCTCAGCCCAAGAGGGGAGACAGATTATCTCAAATTATTTATTATGGAATTAGAGCATGATCCAAACCCTCCTTGAGTCAGTAAGAAAGCTCTGACTGACTTCACCGGGTTTAGGACTGAGCACCAGGAACAGCACAGGGTATTTCTGCATCCGTGGCTGTGACTCACCGAGAACTTTCCAACGTGGAGGAGCAGCTCAGAGCCGTGGCTCGCCTGCCCCCGCCACTGGAGGGGTCCCTCCCGGAGTGGGGCAGTGTGACACCGCCAGGGCCCCACGGGATAGCGGGGCAGGTTCTCCCGAGCACACAGGACACCCGCTGCTGCCGCTCCTTGTCAAAGTTGGGGCCCAGGGTGATGCCATCGGCCATTTTTTGCTGCGCAGGTGCCAGCACCTGGCTCTGCTCGAGCTCATCTTTAACCACAGCCTGTGGGTGCTCAGAAACACCCCAGCCAGCAGCTTTGGGCCAAAACTGCCCCAAATTGTGGCCTGTGCTGCAGGAGGGCGGCAGCTGCTGGGGCCTCGCCAGGCGGGCGCTGCTGCGGGAGGGAAGCAGCGGGGCGAAGCGGCGAGGCCGGGCACGCAGGAGCTCGCCCGTGGGGCAGCCGTGGTGGGGCAGCCCCTCCGTGGGACTGCCCGGCCGCGGGGACGAGCTGCGGTGGGGCAGCAGCAGCAGCCCAGCCCACCTTGCCTCGCCGCGCTGCCAGGAGGGAAAGGGAGCTGGGGCTCGGTGATGGAAGCGCCGGGTGCGGTGGGGTCTCCCCCGGTGACAGGGACGCGGCGCCGGCCGAGCCTCGGAGAGGGGCAGCAGCCGCGGGCCTCTCACTCAGCCATTCCCCATCAGGAGAGGGACCTGTGGCCCCTCAGCCCGGAGCTCCCGGGGAGGACACGGCGCGTTTGCCGCCGCCAGCGCAGGTCCCCAGCACGGGGGGAGCCCGCAGAGCCGCTCCCTCCGGCCCCCGGCAGGTTCCGCTCGGTGCCACCGCGAGTGCCCGGGGAGGGGTGCGGATGGTGGAACGCGGGGCGGCGGGGCCGCCGGGCCGGGGAATGCTCGGGTGGCCGGGGGATGCGCCGCTCGCCGGGGGCCCGGATCTGGGGTTGGGGGTCCCGCGGTGCAACCCTTCCCCCGAAGTTTTGGGGCCGCGGGGGTCGGTACCTTCCAGGCAGCACGTCCTCCAGAGCCCCGAGTGGGTCATCACCTCCTCGTTCTTGCGGCTCGTGTCGTTGTCGCTCATGGACTTAGTCCTGCACACGCCGCGCGAGTAGAGCCAGTAGTCAGTGCCCACGGCGATGGTCATCAGGCTGAAGGCTGCGAAGGCTCCCACCGTGGTGACGAGCATCTGGACGCCTCTGTCACACATCCTCATGCTGCTTCATCCTCCGGCGGCGGCTCGCAGGGGAAGGGCCGGCGCCGCCGCCCGCCGCCCGCCGCCTCATGCCCCCGCGGCCGGCGGAGAGCCGGGCCCCCGCGGCGGCGCGGAGCGGGGCGGCCCGGCCCCGGGGAGCCCGGCAGGCATGGCCCGAGCGCAGCCCGCGGAGCGCAGCAGCCCAGCCCGGCGGAGCGGCTCCGCCGTGCGGTCCCGCCGCCTCTCCCGGCGCCTCCCCCGCGCCGCCCGGCCAAGGCAGCGGCGGGGGGCGGCGGGGGCGGGGGGCAGCGGGGGGCGGGACCCGCGGGGGGCTGCACCGCCGGGACACCGCCCCCCGCCCGCTCACACCGGCCGGCGGCGGGGACGGCGACCGGCACCGGGGGCACGGGGACCGGGACGGGAAACCCACCCCGGGGTGCCGGGACTGGGCGGGGACCGCGACTGCCCCGGGAAGCGCAGCCCGGGATGCTGGCATCGGGACCGGCCCGGGACATCGGGAGAGGGACCCTACGAGAACGCCTGGACTGGGCGGGGGGACCCCACCGCCGGCTGCCGGGACTGAGCGGGGACCGAGACCGCGACCGCCCCGGGAAGCACCCCCGGGCATTCCGGGAGCGGACCGGGACCGTCCTGGGCCGTGGGCAGGGTGGAAGTCCCCTCCAAGTGGCAGCAGCGCCCCAGGGACCCTCACCCAGCCGCACCAGCCCCGGCACGGGGCCGCTCGGTTCCCTGATTCCCTAGCTCGGTCTGCTCGGTGCCTGAGCCCCGGTACCGGGCACCGGATGGCATCTGGGACAAGGGGCTGGGGACCCCAGGGAGGGCACAGCACCTGCCCCGACAACAGCGGGGTTTGTTCATCCCCCGGCCAGGAGCTGGCTCAGCCTGGACAAGCCTCGTACCCACGAGTCACTCCTGCACCATTCCCAGCAGTTAACCCCCCTGCCCTCTCCCTCTCCTCTGTCTCCTCATCTCCCTGAAACATCCCTCAGGCGGTTGGATGAACCCATGACTCACGCGACCTTTCCAACAAGCCCTAGAATACACTTACCTCTGGAATTCACGGTCCTGCAGGGGCCGTGCTGAGACGGGAAAGCGAATGATTTACACGATGGCGTGTGCTTCCCCAGCCCTCATCTGTATGCACTCACATGGAAATACTAGTTATTTACTCCAAAAAGGCAAACAGAGAATTATGAAGGTACCGAGAAATTAAGAATGCGAAAATTAAGTAGCTCCTCAACCTGCAATCACCGTTTGTTCTGCTCCCCAGGCAGGGCTCGCTGATTGCTGCCCCGCCGCGCTCCCTGCCCAGCTTCCCGCTGGCTCCTGGCTGTGGATCACCCTGGTTCATTCCCTGCTTCCCCCCCGGGCCCTGTGCCTGGTTCCCAGCTCAGGCTGGAGGCGGTGCAGCTCTGCCCAGGCTCTCTGGGCGCACAGCACCAGCTCCTGCTTCCCAGCGTTTCCATCTGGAGCGGCAGCGCTCGGGGAGCTGGGAGGGGACCCAGCCCTCTGAGGAGCGTGAGGATGGGGACACACGGGCTGGGGTCAGCAGCACACACCTACCCACCCTGCATCACAGAGGGTCTCCCTGTCCATTTTTTGAGGAGGGTTTACCACTGCTCGGTTTTGGGGAGAGTTGCTGGCAAAGGTCACACCTGGGTGTCACAGACTGGGCACTGGGATGAGCCCTGGGCATGGCTGCACTGGGACGCTGGTCAGAGAATCACAGACCCCCAGAACGGTTTGGGCTGGAAGGAATCTTAAAGATCACCCAGTTCCACCCCTGCCATGGCAGGGACACCTCCCACTGTCCCAGGCTGCTCCCAGCCCTGTCCAGCCTGGCCTTGGGCACTGCCGGGGATCCAGGGGCAGCCCCAGCTGCTCTGGGCACCTGTGCCAGGGCCTGCCCACCCTGCCAGAGAAGAACTTCTTCCCGATATCCAATATGAATCTCTCCTCTTTTAATTTACAGCCATTCCCTCCTGTCCCATCACTATCTTCCTGTGCAAAAATCTGCTCTTCCTGGTTTTCCTAAGCCCCTGGTCCCGAGCGCTCCCGTGGGCACCATGAAGGCGGCTCAGAGCACGGCGCAGGGAAAGGCCAAGTTTCTGTGGGACATCTGCCTCAGCCCCAGCACGACACCCTCATCCTGCCGCCCCCACCCGCCCCTGCCCGGCCCCCGGCTGTCAGCAGCGCCTGACGCCAGCACCCTGCCCGGCCCCCGGCCTGCGCAGAGGCAGCAAAGATATCTCCCACCCACAGCTGAGGGGCTGCAAATTGCGTTGCGAGTGGGGGATTTTGCAGCCTTAATTGTGTTATTTTAACACAGCGTGTGTAGGTGTGAGCAGAGTGCACATGTACCGTTTCCTAGGCTTTGAACAAAGCGAGCTCAAACAGAAGCAAAGTCCGTGTCAGATCGTGTTGGCCCCTGTGGGGTTGGAGGTGGGGACACCCCGGCCAAGCCCTGCACCCCTCTCACCGCTCCATGGATGGAGGGTCAGCTCCAGGAGCGAGCTCGGAGCTCTGGCCTCCCCACGGGTTTCACTAAGATTTGGGACCAATGAGAATTTGGTGACCTTGGTATCCTGCTGTGCAACTCAAAGTGCAGGGTCACAGCCTGGCACCCTGAGCAGGGCAGCCTGGGATCCTCCAGCCCCAGCTCCATCACCTCTTCCTGTTCCTTGCCTTGTCCATCGTCATCCTCCTGCTCCTGGACCTGGACCCTACTGCGCCGAGCAAAGTAGAAACAAACAACAAAATCCAGCCCACGCTGCAAAGACCGTACAACTCTTGCGAGAAAAAAGCTGTCCTTGCAGGCAAAAATGTCCTAACCCGAGATCTGTTAGGCTTTGTCCTCCCAAATCCAGCGATGAAAGCTCTGCTGCATTTAAATTGGCAAAGTGACAGGAAGTAAGAAGTCAGAAATAATCCCTAGCTGGATTAGGTTTTTCCTTGAAGGAAGAGAGGCTGGTACAGGCGAGTTTGGGTCATTAGCGATGCAGGGAGATGCTCCAGCCCTGCCTAGTCCTCACTTCATTTTCCTGCTCCTGGGGGCTGCGAGGGGATAAGGACTCCAGAGCCTTCGGCACATGTGTTCATCCTTCCCCACTCCTACGAGGGGATTATTTATATCTGCACACACTTTGGAAGTGCTGGCTGCAATCCACTGGCTCCAGCAGGGCTCCAGTGGTGGGGCTGGCTGTGCCAGCGATGCCACGCGTGCCCCCAGCCCCAGTGCCCGTGGCACGAGCTTGGTGCGAGCCGGTGCAATTCCCTCCTGGCTCTGCTCTCCCTGCTGGATTTCCGACACTTGAGTAGCAATAAAAATAGCAGGGGAGGAACAGAAATCCATTCTGATTAAGCCTCTTTATTCTGAGAGATGCTGAGGGAGCAGGGGTGGCCGTGTGTGGGCCAGCACCACGCATCTTCCGGGGCCAAGGCAGCCGCTCTGGCAGCGGCCGCGTGCCCAGATCCGGGGTGCTTTGCCCACACTTGTGACATTCCCCCAGCGCCTTCTCCCCTCCACAGTGACATTTTGACTCTCTAACAGGAGGGTGCAGCCAGCTGGGGATCAGTCTCTTCTCCCAGGGAACAAGGGGCAGGACAAGGGGAAACAGCCTCTGTTTGCACCAGAGGAGGTTTAAATTGGATATGAGGGAAAATTTCTTCACTGCAAGGGTTTCCAGGCGGTAGAGACCCCACAGACAGAGGGATTTAAAAGCTGTGTAGATGTGACACGTAGGGACACGGGTCAGTGGTGGCCTTGGCAGTGCTGGAGGAACAGTTGAACACGATGGTCTTGGAGAGCATTTCCAACATGAATGATTCCATGATCCTTCGATTCCCTGGGCAGGCAAAACGAGCAGAGATGGGAAGGGATGGCACAGGACAGCGAGCGCTATGGCAGTGGCCCGGGGCTCCCAGAGCCGTCCCATGGCCAGCAGCTCCCCCTCTTCCTGACGCCGGGCTGTGTGAGGGGAGCCAGGAGAATCCCTTCCCCAAGGTCACACAGAGACTGTACACGGAGCGTGTCTGCACGGGATGGGAGGAAGGATGGACAGGGAACAAAGGCAGCTGTGGGCAGTGGTAGCCCAGGAGCAATAAAAGAACAAATAGCAGAAGATTAAACCCATTCCACAGTCAGGTCCAGCCGGACCACGCTGAGCCACGAGGAAAGGTTCACTGCTGCTCCAGCCTGCCACAATTTAATTGATTTGATTTAAATCCTTTGAAGAAGAAGTGGATAAGGAATAATGAGGCAAACAGGATTGTAATGCAAATGAAAGAGATGAAAGATGGCTTCAGGGAGACGCTCTTGAAGGTCAGCGCCCAATGCAGAGCTGCTCCTGGTCACTCAGTCCAACATTAATGAGGCTGTGTTCCCCTGGATGCTTTGATGGATGGAGGGATGGATCAGGAGGCGAGCACCAGGATGTCTGGCCTTTAATCCCCTGGCTCCAGGCAGATCATCCTTCACAGCGTGGGGAGGGTTTTACCTGGCTGGCACAGGGACTCGGGCTCCTGCTGCCCGTGTCACGCTGGGTAAGCACACTTCCTAATCGGGTTTCTCCAGATACTCCAATGGAGGCTCTAACTTCAGAATTAATTAACTTCACTATCAAAAGCTGAGTCATTTGTCACAATGGTTTTGTCATTAGCTCCCATAATTAAGGAAAGTGTCACAAAACCAAATGTTTCACTTACACAAGGCAGGAGAGGCAAAGCTCAGGAGTGCTTCCAACATGCTGGGAATGGGCACAGCCGTGGGGAGGGGCTCAGCCAGGCACCCCAAATCCCTGTCCTGGGCTGGGGGGGCCTTCCAGGCATGGCTGGGGGCAGAGGGAAGGGGCTGGGGTTTGGGGAGGGGGCACGGCTGGGCTGCCCAGGCTGGAGGAGCTGCTGGGCTGTGCCAGGGCTGGCTGGGCCGGGCTGTTCCCCCAGCCCCAGGAGAGCTGAGGTGCTGCTGGTGACCGTCAGCCACACGAGCTGGGAGAGACGAG